AAGAGGCTGTTACAAAGCTCTTTACTATGCTCCCTGAACAGCTGTTTAAAAATGGAATTCTACCACCTGATTTAGAGGAATTGCCACAAGACAATGGCTGAGTGAGAAAGGCAAGATGAAGAGAGGTGGGTATAATCAACACCACCCCGAAAATTCGTAAGGTCTCTCAGAGGGTCTCCAGCACGGTTGAGCCCCAGTGGTCAACAGTAATAACTTGCTCATTAATGCTGTTATTTTCTCTTTACTGTCTTCGTTCACCACTCTTATAGTGCTGCCTGGGATGACTTGCCAAATAAACTACTTGCACCCAAATCTTTGTCTCAGAGTCGGCTACTAAAACTTGTAGACCTTAGGCAAGGAACCCCTAGGCAGCAGCCACAACGGACCAAAGCCACAGACAGACTTCATATATCCTAAGATTCCCATACAGGTTTAGGGGATGAGGGTGGTGTCCCCCACATCAACTATATGAAACTATGATTGGAATATACAGTAAATCTGACTATATGTAACAACTGAATTCCAGTAAATCTGGTAGGTCATGAATTGACCTAAGTCAATTTGGCCATTCGGCAATTATGATGTTCTTCTAGTAAGTATCAGTATCTTCTGGAAGTCAGAGGTAGGTGGGGGCTGCAGCTCCCTGCCACCATCACCACTACCTCCTCAGAAGATGGCATTTACAATGAAAAATGGCTTTGGACCAAGTCTACAAAATGTGCAAACATTTATTCGCCACACAAAACAATCATATTTCCTTGTTCTTAGGTTGTGGGGGAAGCCCCTCTCTGTCCTATACCTAGTATGTTGCACGAAAATTTCATTCCCAAGATAGATGCAATGAGACAGCAGAACCAGCTAATCCTGTGATCAGATGATGTGGAGATCACTGGACTAGCGAGGTTTGTAGACTTCGTGCTCTGCTCCAAAGTGTTTACACTGCTGAGCCTGATGGATGTTTTTATCCTGCACGTCTGAGGATGAGGCCTCTATATTTCCGAGGCCACACACGAATCCCAAGAACGCACTGATCTCACCATTGAAAGATGGTTAACATCTCAGTGCTGTTCGACAAACCCTATGAAGTAGATTCTGAAAACATCTGAAGTCCTTATATAGCTGCCTGTGGAACTTGGGTCCCTGTTTAAGAGTATTTCAAATGCTAACTGCTACTAGGGTGCATATGACTGGACAACAAAGTTACGGTGCATATATGCATGGGATATTACTCAGCCATAAGAAGAGACGAAATGCTGCCATTTGTCGCAACATGGGTGGATCTTGAGATCATCATGCTGTCCAAAAAAGTCAGACAGAAAAAACTGAGAACCAGTTTTATATGTGGGATATAAAACAAAGCGACAAACGAACAAGGCAAACAAAAACTCAATGGACAATAGTTTAGTGGTGGCCAGAGGTAAAGAGGGGCAGGAGAAGGCCGAGGGGGTCAAATATACGGTGACGGAAAGAGATCCGACTTTGGATGGTGAACACACAACGCAATATACATATGATGTATTATAGAATTGTACACTTGAAACCTGTACAATTTTATTAACCAATGTCGCACCCCCCCAAAAAAAATTCACACACATAAACACATCCCTTTGTTTACATGAAGTATTTAAATGACTATACATGTTCTATAACAGCTCTAATATTTACTGAGCATTTATTATGTGATATGTGATAGGCACTTAAAAGGAACTCATCTTCAACCCTCCAACCCTCCAGTGACATGCGTTCTACGAATGTCACCATTTTACAGATGAGAAGACCGGGACAGAGGGATGTGAACTACTTTGCCCAAGTCCCACAGTTGGCAGGGGTTAAGACTCGGGTGATCTGGCTCCAGAGAGCACAGCCCCTTAAGCACTATACTATACAGACAATAGCCAGTGCTAGAGTTAATGTAGAGAAATGCAGAAATGTGACATTTATACTGTTACAAAATTTGAGAGCGTCAGAGCGCATACTCAGAGCTAGTGGGAGTGGCCCTAGTCCTATGTGAAGACCCCACTCCACGGCTAGCCAGCCCGGATTCTCCTTCCCAGGACCAAAATTCCAGCTTCGAGCTGACTGGTCTCTCGAAAACAGAGTTGCTCTGGGAGTTTGGTCCCATTTCGTCAACTAGAAAGAGGAGAAAGCTGGTGTGCAGAGCGAGAGCAGCAAAGCACACAGAAAAGACGACACGGACTTCGGGTACTGAGACCCGACAGCCTCTCTGACCTAAACACACACAAGTCCTCTTTTGGGCTTAAGTTATTGCGACCCAGAATTCTAATGGATGCATCCATTAAAAGTTTTCAAGCCAAAAAATCGCAGGACTCCTTTAGGAAAATTCATCGGCAGCAAGAGAGAAGGGACCAAAAGCAGAAAAGGGTTTGTAATAATGACCCAGGCAACAGAAAATGACGACGCAGGGACAGGGAGACAATGGAAATGGAAAAAGGGGACTCGAGGGGAAACATGTACATTCTAGGTCCTTGCCAAGTCCCATTATACCCTTCTGGTGGCCAGGTGGTATGGTAAGGATAGGGTTTCTCTTGCCTGTAAAGTACTGATACACTCCCATACACCTTTTTCCTGTGTTTATAATTAATTTTTGAAGGATTACTTAAAAAAATTTCCAACATCATGAAGTTTCAAACATAGCAAAGTTCAAAGAATTTTATGAATACCCATACTCCCACATGTGCAGCTCTAGGTCGTATATCTGACATTCTGTTATTCATGCTTTGTCACACATCTAGCCATGTCCATCCCTCCATCCATCCATCAACTCATCTTATTTTTGGTGCCATTCAAAGTAAACTGCACACGACAATACACTTCTCCCTACACAATTTGGTGGCAGTATCATTAACTAGAGGTCGGTATTTGCTTAATATTTTTTTATAAAGTAAAACTTAAATAATATGAAACACATATCTTCAATGTAATTTGAGTTTTGGCACATACCTGCAAAACCCCAACCCTTATCAAGATATAGAATATCTTGTCTATGGCCATGTCATCCTGAACGTGCCCGATCTCGTCTGATCTCGGAAGCTAAGCAGGGTCAGGCCTAGTTAGCACTTGGATGGGAGACCACTTAGGAATACCAGATGCTGTAGGCATTAAAAAAAAAAAGATACAGACTACCACCATTCCAGAACATTCCTCTACGTCCATTCCCAGCATTCTTGTGCCCACACCAGGCATTTTCTACTGACTGTTTTCCACCCTAGTTTGGAGATAGGCTGTGTTCAACTCTCCTTGCAAATAGCTGTAGTAGCACTCCAAACCCAGGTCCTCAGATCAGTCTGAGGAATAAAATGTGGTCCACCTGCATTCCTTACCAGCCCAAGAATGGCACGCACTGTGCCCTCGATGCTGGGATAAGTAAATGTATGGTCACCTGACCGCAAGCCTCTGTGACAACAATCTAGGAAGTCCTTCATCAGGATTTCAAAGGGAAAAAAAAGCCACACAACCTTTTATAAAAGTAATAATCAAATCTAAGTTAAAAATAAAAGTAACTAAAAAAACTGGACTGGGTAACAAACTAGAAAGCTTTTCTTAAAAGAAGGCCAAAAAGCTACTGTAGATACTTCCATATGATTATACAATCTGTATCCTTGAATTGCTAAAGGCAGACAGTGTGATAGGATTAAAAAGAAAATAACCTGGGCCTGAACCACAAAACAGGCCAACATGTCTGTTTTTAAAGATACAAAACCACTCTCCTCCTCAATGTATAAATAACATTTAAGTTATTTTGTATTCCCCAGGGCTAGCCTGGTTATCAACATACTCATGAGTAATCTCTTGGACACATCCCTGGTTATACTGGAACCCACAGTGCAAACGGTTTTGCCTCTGCCACCCCGACCTAGTATGTTTAAGGACAGTGTAGTGTGTGTGTGCACACACGTGTTGGGGAGGTTGTTGGAAGGGTATACATGGAAGGCTGTGGTCACTGAGGACCCTGTCCCTACGTGGGGAGGGGGTGCTCCTGGGTGCTCAGCCCCACTATGTGCTACCCCGGAGTCAGCTTTAGCAATGCACTAGTGCCCAGCAGGATTTCATAGCTGTAGTCCAGTCTCCCCTGGCCCCACGCTCTTTCCAGGATGCAAGGTTACACAGGAAGGCAGAGGAGCCAGAAGTTCGTCCCCAACCATCCTGTTTCACATTAGATGGAAAATGCCCCACTGTTTACATCCCCTCAGTCCTCCCACTGCCCTCACCCGGAAACCAAGGAACAAGCAAACTCAGGAGAGACAGTCCACCAAAAGTCCAAGAGCCATTAAACAAATGTGGAAAATAGGACGAGAATCTGCTGATCTCTAGGGCTCTAACTACTACTTGGGAATTCAACACAAATATCGAAGAACTGACACACGTGAAGAGAATGTGGCAGCAATGAGAGCTTATTAAGTTTCGGGGATGTCTCAGAGCCAGCTCTGTGACATAAGCAGGGGACTAGCAGGGGAGGGGATATCTTCTCCTGTCCTCGCTGAAAGGGTTGCAGGTAGTAAAGGTCAGAGAAATGGAACTTCTCCCAACAAACACAAGTCACGGGTCTCAATATAGTGTCCAACAAAACGAGTTAGGAAAACTGCTCTCACACCATCTCACCCAGTGCCTGCAAAGAAAAATGAAACCTTTTTCTTTTCCATGGTTTAATTGAACTCAGAACTCTTCCAGCGATAAAATAATAGAATCCTCATTTTATATATCCCCACAAAAGCAAAGAGGCAATGACTCAATTTCAGGGACTTAAAAAACTATCTTCCTTTAGTCACTCCAACACTCTTATCCTATTTTATTTTTCTTTGTAGTATTTTATTGCCACCTGAAATTTTAAATATTTATTTTTGGTGCCATTCAAAAATAAATATTTAAATATTTAAAATTTCAGGTCGATTGGTTTCCCATCACCAACCAACCGCACACACATACACCAGAATGGGTGAAAGTAATTATTCCATGTTTTATCAACCACACCGAATACAGTCTTGTTTGTAAATTGTGCTTTAATTTCTGCAATCAGATATGATGCAGTGAGATACAAGTATAAACTTTCATTGTACATCCAGAAAAAAGCACACTTATACAGATTTAGCCTAACAGCTTATTCCCTTTAAAAAAAAAAAAACTTTTGAATGTAAAGCTAATTTATCTTCAGTGTAAAAACTTGGAGGTATAAACAAACTCAAGATATTATATACAGTAAATTAATGTCCATTTCTAAACTTGCACAGTGCAGCATTTTAAACAAATGGTCTCATTTCGGTTTTTACCATTAAGCATAATCCACATTTCAATCTCGAATAAAAATGTCACAATATATAAACCCACTGAGAATCCTGTACACAAATACAAGGTTATAGAAATCTGATTTCAAATATAAATACATAAATTGTCATGACCTCTCATGTTATAACAGCTTATTTTTCTATTGTAATTTTTTAAAAAAATCATAGAAAAATATTTCAATGCACATTCAACTGCTATGACATGGGTCATGACCTTGTGCCTTTAAATCATACTTTGTAGAGTGGAAAGCATCATACCAGGCATTTCTGGAATGAAAATTACTAAGATCCTAAGACTGAAGAGGCTACTGTATAAATATTCATGTTATAATACAGTAACAAAAATAGTTAGCTCATAGTGTATTTGGGAGGCAATTTGAGGGCGGAGAAGTAAGTGGAGGTTAGTGCTAGTTTAAGAAGGCCCACAGAACATATGTGAAGGTAGCTAATGAGCTAGTGTATTTTTAAAAATCCCTATTGCAAGCCTAACAAAGACCTCCCTTGTGAGACTCTTAAGGCAACCGAGACTGGACATGTGTGTGGCCCCCAATGCATGAATCCTGCCCTCCCCTCACTCTCTGGTTAGCTTAACAGACCAGCCTGGCTCATGCATCAACATGGAATGGGAGAACAGCAAAGCAATCTCTCGTACATAGGAAGATTCAGTGCAAACAGAGAATATTCTTTGTCAACGTTTCAACATTTCTTAGTGCCCTTGAGCAACTGAAAATGTTTCTACACATGTAATATTCAAATTGGGATCTATACTGGAGAGTAAATGTATATAAAAGGCAAACATTCGATTTGAAACATTCTAATATTAGATTGTTTTCAATCCCTTCTTTTTGTAGGATTTAACAGGATTCCATTGAGAATGAAAAAAAAAATGGTCCTTACAAAGTGTACTTTCTTCTATTTAAAAATATAGATCATTTACTTCGACAGCAGACCCAAGAAGGTTACCAGGCATAGTCAAGTTTATTCTATGGCTTTTTAAATCTCTGAGGTACTATATGATAACCATCCATTCTGATATTTATGCGTAACTGCTTCCCTAAGAAAGCCACGTTCAAAAGTGATCTTGGTCAGTCTGTCAGGTGACAGAAAATGCAGGGAAACCATGTGATGGCTGGCAGCAGGGGGTCACCGTCTCAGATGCTCCGAGGCCTCGGCACGCTACTAGAAAAAGGCAAAGCAGTTACTTGCAAACACACTGAGAGCCTCCAGAACGACGCTCCTCAGGGCAGACCAAAGGGAGTCCCCCGGTTTAACCGACAGGTTTAGCAGCAAGATCCTGGGATTATGTGCGCCAAGGCGGGCAGCACGGAGGGACGGTGGCAAGTGGTATGAAGCAGGCAGAGAGAGACCTGGAGGCCAAAGCATGCAAAAAAGCGTAGTGTGGTTGGCTAGACCACCCCACACTAAGTGACACGGTCTCTGCAGGAGGGAGGATGGTCTGAAACGTCAGGATGGGTGACGCAGGTGGAATTTCTCTAGCTTTTCTACAGGCAAGAGAACGTAGAAAGGCAAAGTGCTATGGTTTAAGTGAATGCCATACATCTCAACACCTCTATCTGAACCTTTCAATACGTCACACACACATCACATAAAGCTAAACTTGCTCCAAACTGAAGTGGGTTAGAGAGACACTGACTATTCGCAATGACTGGATAAATTATCTTGGCACAGAAAGGATCTGAAGAAAAGATCGAGTCCACGAATATCTTACCAAAACTCTTTTTAGTAGTAAACCAGCTACTGCAGATTCTGTATAATACTTATGCATCAGATAACAGTGGCAATTCTATTACGGGTCAAGTAGTAATTCCTTTCAATTAATACTAGAGATATGGTTTTAATTGCATAGTCTTTGGGACCATGAAAAAAAAAAAAATGAGAACCAGCTCTTTCCTGAAGGCCCAGGTTCCTCCTACAGAGCATGGGCTAATGGCCCTCCCTCCCAGCAGTAAGCTTCAGTATGACAGGCCAATCTTTAGGTCAATGAGTTTGACCCCTGTCCCAGTCTTCAAAATTCCTTTTTCACAATTAGTGGACAAGTCATACATCCCCTAGATCCACAAACTCATCTTCTCGTTTGGCCAGATCTTCTTCATCTCCCAAAGCTTTCCAGCCGCTGGTGGGCAAGACAGGTTTAGAGGAATGTCGCTGCAGCAAAGCAAAAGGAAACAAAGAGGACAGGCGGACGGAGTTCCTCAGCAGGGAGGGCGCCTCTACCTGGAGGGCCTCCTGGCGGTGGTGTCGCTCGTCGATTTTCTCTTGTAAGCTCTGTACTTCCTCCATCATTTCCAAGAGTTTGCTCATGGTGGCCACTGTGCCACCACCCAGGATTTGGGCTTCTGGAATCCAACGCAAGTAACGCTGAGCCCAGACTTTGATTTCTGGCCCCTCGATGTGGGGCAACAACAGACCATGGTGGTCAGTGGGCTTGCTGTGCCAACTGTCATAGAACTCTCGAAAGTTGTCTTGAAGTTCATCGGAAGAATTAATTAGTTTGCTAATTCTCTTGCCCAGAAGGTTTTTAATTAAATGATCTGTTTCTTCCCTGAAAAATCCTCTTTTGGGAGATGACTTAGATTGGGTCAGTGGCAAAGAAAGCTGTCGTTGATGCTTTGAGAGAAAACACAAATATCTCTGGTTAGCCTGAGAGCGCAGTTGTTCCCAAGAAAAAGGGGGCATAATCCTGCTTCAACAAGTCATGAGACATCAGAACTGCCATGTGAATGCAAATTCATTAAAATGAGATACCATACAGAGAGGAAGGTGGCCTCTTATTTAGTCCACGGTGTGAATGTCAGGTGCACCGTGGACTAAATGTTTAGAAACCAGGGGCTGAGACCAGGCGCAGTCGGCGCGGTGCAGAAAGGCAAGCAGCGACGTGGAGAAGGAGCTTCCGACCCCCCCTCCTCCCCGTCGCGGCAGCACCACGGGGCACCCAGTCCTTCTGAAGAACGAGTACTTTTAACTTAAGGTAAGTTGATGATTTAGGGGAGTTTGGAGGTGCTGCCTATTCGTTTTTTGAAGGGAATAAAACGTCTCCTCTTTGAGGACCTGAGGGAGTTAGCGTCTACAATATTCTAAACACCAGTTGCGATAACCTGAAGATCCTATCCCTTTAATGAAATAACTTTGTAGCTTCTCAGGCAACCGGCATCCAGTGTGAGTTTAAGCCTAAGTCATAAAGATTCTTTTGGACAGAGTCTGGTGGGAACAAAAGAAATTTGAGGAACTGGCTAAACTGGCCAGATGTTCTTGTCTGACAAGTTGCATGGAGTAGAAAATGTGAGAGCTTTTACATTTTTTTTTCCTCCTCACTAATTTTATCTGCAGCCAAAGCGAGGTTTTTTATTTTGGGGTGTACTGTGAAAGGGCTGTGAAGATGGGCAGAGTGGTCAGAAGGATATAGGGGATCTCCAGTGCTCAAAGGCGAAGGTAAAAAACATGGAGAAGCTGTTTCTCCCCAACTCTTGCTCCCGATGTACCCATCTGAAATAAGGATGAAAGTTTTGTTTTCAGGCTAGACTTATAATTATCCAATACATTTCTGCCAATGGTTGTATAAAGGAAATATTTCCTCATTATAGAATGAAGGAAATATCTTATTACAGAATATGAAATAACAATAAAAAATGTACAGAAGAAAGCAAAGCCACCCACAACACCACAACTGAGAGAGGACTAGGACTGCGGACCTTCCATCCGGGGACGGGAAAATCGAAGGCCGAGTCAGCGGCCGGCCTCTCTTCTCCCTAGTGACCAAGGTGAGTCGGGTGGGCGGGGGAGTTAGGAATGCAGGTGGAACCTAAGAGCCACTGTTTTTGCCACCAGGTCCTATGCTCAGTGGTTTGTATGCATCGACTTATCCAGTTCTCGAAGTCACTATTATTGCCCCATCTTACAAAGGAGGAAACTAAGGCACAGAGGTTAAGTAATCCGCCAAGGCCCCAGCTACCAAATGCCACTGGTGGTTTCCCACACAGACAGTCTGGTTCCAGAGTGTGGGCTCCTAACAGAACTCTGTTTGTCTTAGAACTTGCCCCTTCTCTCCATCTCCTAAGTGAGCCGAGTGTGCAAGATGGGCCAGGTGGAGCCAGCACTGCGCCTGGAGCCTGGTCAAGACCTGAAGCAGAGGCTGAGATCACACTCCTGAGCAGACCTCACGGCCTCCAGTGTAACTCACAGAGCGGCACGTCATGCTGGTCAGCCACAGCCTCTTTAGTCTCTGCAGAACATCTCCAAGGCTGGCCATCCACTCAGCAAGGGGTCCCAAGCCTGACATCTGGTCTCTTATCTCAAAAGCTTCAAAGTTCCTTGTTGCCCCAGCCCCAACTCTGGCTCAAACCTCTCCCACCAGTCAGCTCCTAGAGTCTAGGCCATCTGTTCATACCTAAGAGGAGAAGGGCCACTTAAAAAAACTGGATCTGGGCAAAGATGCAATCCATTCTTACAAGGAGGAGCCTTAGCTTCCTTCCATACAAAATAAGAACTTAAGCCTCCGCTGTCTCTGCTGGCCTAGGGCAGTTCTATTGATCCTAACTCGGCTGTCACAGGAAGCATGCATGCAGCCACCAGGGGGCACAGCATACTGAAGAAAAACTAACCTTTGGCCAAGCTGTTCCGGAGCTCAGGGAGTTCCGGTCTTGGTGGCAAAAAAAGAGGTTGAACCAGAGCAGGAACATCCACCCTGGGCCCGAGGACCCTCAAAAAGACAAAGTGGCAGTTCTAAGTTGTTCAGCAGCTGGCATCTTCTGCAAGTTCTGGCTTTGGCTCATCCGGTTCCCCACGCCTCTTTAGAATGGAGCCACCTCCCGCACCAGAACTAGCCAAGCTCCCTGGAACCTCTCAAAGGGAGGAGGGATCAGAAGTATGGCCATGGAAAAGGCAGTGGCACGCACTGATTTGGGATTTACTCCACTGCTCTCCCCTGTGTGGAGTCTGTGGGGCAGAAATACTGGGCCAGGAGACAGAGCCAGGAAATGCCATGTAAATCATGGATCACCTCAGAAACTCTGGGGTTTTACTAACTAATAAAGTCAAGAAAAAATATCTGAAGGGAAACCCAAATAATTTAACATTTGTGGTTTACAGCGGAGTCAGCAAACTACGGCCCATGGGTCAAACCTGACCAATGGCGTTTTACACAGGCAGGCGCCCAGCCATGCCCGTTTGCTCACGTGTTGTCCGCAGCTGCTTCTGCACTACAACAGTAGAGCAGGGGCGTCATGCCAGACTGCACGCCGTGACACACAAGGTTATAGTTATAAATATTTCTATCACGAATAATATTGCTATTTAAGACGTAAACTGGTACAGATGGAGTAAAGCCCACACAATCAGCGTCCCTTCTCTACCAGCCGTGCACTCGGGCAGGGGTAAGACACATGATCCCAAACGTGACCATTTCAGGAGCAGCATCCCCAGTGACATTCAGCAAATGGCAACATCTCATCGGGCAAAGAATTCTCATGGGCCTTGACAATTTGCCTGCCACAAATATCGACTCTGCAGACTGTTTCCAGAATCCACATGTGACTTTTACCCTTACATACATAGGGGCCTCTGGGCAGATGAAGGGGAGGTTAGGCATGTAAACATCTTACTTTAGAACGTACTCCTTTCCGCTGGCCTTTGTCCAGTTTGGGCTTTTCCACATAAAGAGGGTTTCTGAGCAACATCTGGGCTTTGGGTTCAAACTGCACAGACCAGTCCCAAACGGTGAGCAGATTCAAAGGCTTGCTCTGTGTCTCCTGGCTTTCCCTGCCCTGCCAAAACAAGCATAGGTCACGACGGCTCCCAAGGAGGGCTGAGGGAGCACACGCACACCTCCACCGGCCCCGGGAAGGGCGCTCCTGTGCTGCCCAGACAGAGCATTCACGGGCACTTCATTTTTAAAAACTGCAGCTGTCAGTGGTTGTTCGCTAGAGGCTCTGGGTGGGGAGGAGGGAGGGATGAAGGACATGTTATTTTCTAGCAGGTCATATGTCAGCCACTGTACTGGGTACTTGCACAACAACCTACGAAGTCGCTATTATTTTTGCCATTTTACATTTGAGGAAACTGAGGCTCAGAAAACTGGATTTGAACTGCCTGAGGTTACAAAGCTGGTGAGCGGCAGGGCTGGAATCTGAATCCGGGGCTGTGTGACCGGAAGCCCAGGTTCTGCGTCCTCCACTTTTCTGCGGGATTCTGCGAAACCTCTCCCAGAGGGCTGGCCCAAGCAAACCCTGGGGCCTGCGGAAGGCTGGTCAGAGCACTGCTGGTTAAGGGTAAACCCCTGGAGGCAGGGCCTCAACAGAGACACTAACGGAGGTCAGTTAGGATGGAAAGCACGAGCCCAGCTTCCCTGCTCTGCCTCGTCTCCATTTCCCTTAGAGTGAACCACACATCAGGCAAATAGAAGGGAAGGCATCTGGTCTGTCTTTCATTAATTCTGTTTAATTCCCCAGCTCCAATATTTACTGTGTGACCATGGAAGAGTTACTTATCCTCTCTGTGTCTCAGCTCCTCGGGGATAATATTACAGACCTCAGAGGGTACTGTGAGGATTAAATATCAATACCCAGAAAGCACAGAAGAGGGCCTAGGACATTGTCAGTGCTGAATCAATTTCACTTTTTATCACCGATCTTACTGCATCCTACTTGGGAGACACAGATTCCTAAGAGGGGCTCTTACCATGTTAGTATCTTTTTGATGAGGCGAATTGAAGAAGAAGGTGCTAAAAATAGGTATGTATAGGCTATCTGACAAAACAGTCAGGTAAGTCTCCGTGAATTCGAATGCCGGGGGATGCTGGTGCACCAGCTGCCAGACACAATCTAAGAAAAGCAGGAACACAGGAACCTATGTGAAAACAAGATAAATGTTACCGAGCAGACACTAAGGGTCCCGCCAGCCAGCCCGAGTTCCAGGGGCAGCCATCTCAGCCGTCGTGAAAGACCTGCTACTGGCACCACAGTCTCTGGACAACACAGCAGACTCCATGCCATCCCAAGCGATAAAGATGAAACCACATGCTCGTGGATGAACATCAACTTTGGCAGTGCCCATCTCTAAGATGAAATATGTAAAATCTCACTATTGGTCAATATTAACAGATAAGCATTTGCAGTTGATATGATGCTAGAGAACAAGAACTTTGAATCCCAATTAAGTGAAATGTTATTCTCCCCCCAAAAGAATTCCTTAGTCGATTTTGTTACCAAAAAAAAAAAAAAAAATCTATACTTAATTATTTTTAATTTTGTTAATACTCCCTTCTCTACTCCATAATGAGAGCCCAAAAGAGAGGACAGAAGAGAAGGCAGATGTTTCTAAAATTTTTTCACAAATGTATTTTTTTAATTGATAGCCTCCTTTACTAGCTACCCAGAGGCCAACTTTTATTAGTACAGATAGTATTTTCCAGGGTGCTTAGTCATTCACAAGGTGTTTATCCTTCTGAGTCACCAGAGACCCTGTCAGGTGAATAAGACAACATGTTACAGTCTCTCCCTTACGGAGGCTGGCCAAGGTCTTACACACAGCTCACAAGAGAGACATGAGTTGGGAATCCAGCTCCCGAATCAAAGTCCAGAGCTGTGTCAATGACATCAGAAATCAGATCACCAAGTTTTCTTTCAAAACTCCAATATGTCGATGTTGAGACACTAAGAAATATTTATATTGTAATTTTATTTCACACTTCGTATTATGTTCAATACCATTAAATAGAATGAAAAATATCTGAACTTCATAGTGCTGTTAAAGAAATGGGCTCAGAAAAAAAAATAAAGAAATGGGCTCAGAAAGTCTGAATGACTTCTCCAAGGGCTGGGTGAACAGCAGATGAGAAATTCTCTTGGACTCTTTCTCCATTAGACATGGTGCCCGTCAGTTCTATTTTCTCAAGATACAAAACACACTCTTCCACACACAGTATCAGCTCTCTCCGCCCATCATATTATTTGAGTCCCATCAACCTTTCAAATTAGTTTCTCAGAAAGGCAAAGTCCATTCCAAGACTCAATGGGACACAGATGAGCACAGACTGGACCTGAAAGAAACCTCCAGGTCTAGGAGAGGCCTGGTCTCTGACCAACATGCCAAGGCCGTAAGGGCAAGAGCCAGGGCTCTCTAGTCCCACAGCACATGGTGTCAAGCTGTTCAGAACTTCAGATAGACATGCTTATTACCTGGAGTAAGAAAAACCACGAGTCACGCTACTAGCATAAGGGAGCTCTGCAGGCGATTTAATTAAAGTTCCTGTTTTAATTTTTCCTTGCACAATCATTAATAATGCAACCGGTGGAGTTTGTACAGCTATAGCCAAGATAAGTAGTACACCACAATTTGGGGGACTCATTTTCACTAACTGAACTATAATGCTAATACTCCTGTGCTTGAATTCAGAGGCCCAGGCCTGGAGCAATTCACATAGCCAGAAGGCAGAAGAGACCATGCACACTGCTCACGTATACAACTGCTAAGGTTCTGGTGATGGAGGGCGCTATGCTTTATTTTGAAAAGGTTTCTGTGCAGGGAAAATTTACTTTGTGTTATTATAAATTTTCTACAGGAAACCTGTACCCTGATTATTCATTTTTCTGCAAAGACTAACTTAGCAGAAATTGTAGGAGTCTCTCTCACTGAGTTAACTGTTAATTTGTTTTATAAATCAATATTACTCCCACCATGAAACAGAGATACACTGGTGTACACAATTCAGAAGAGAAGACTCTGAACACACTTGTTAATCTCTCTCCTCTGAGAAGGGTTTCAGTATCGGTTAAAGCATTCAGTCATCCAACGGTGAACGGATCACGGCCTTCCTACCGAGCTCGTGCAGTGTGCACTTTGCCAACAGTAACCCTATATCTGAAGACAAGAATAAATAAGAGATGGGCACTCCTCCCCATGACTGAGAGTCTGTGATGAGGGCACTCACCTCCTCCTTGTCACTCTGACGCAGATGGTTGCAGCGATCCAGGAAACAGTGCCCGCCCATGATCCACTCCTTCTGGACGAGGCTCTGGAAGCCAACCCTGGTTCTACAGTGGGGATCCATCATCACTTGCACCAGAGAGGAAATGAGGCAGCAGAGGTCGGATGCGTTCTCCTCTAGGAGGGGCCCCAGCAGCAGCGCAAAGAGGAAGGAGGATGTGAAATGTTAAAAGCTATGAAGCGCACTCACATTTGCACAGTTAACAGGATGCCCAACACCAAGGTCTGCTACTGACAGTCAAGCTCTAATTCCCTATAGGCGAGGGGCAATGAAAAAAGGTGATGTTCTCAGATTGAGACACAAACTGCTTTTAGCCTGCCTAATATAGATTCCAGCATACACCGGCACTAAATATGGATTTGCTCATTGAACAAATAAACAAAGCACTGCAAATCCACTGTCGGCATGTAAGCGTCCAGATGTGTCACACGATGAGGTTGGATCATACACAGAATGGTGACCTGTTGGGCTCCAGAGACCAAGCTCAAAACCTTTCGGGCTGCTGTGTCAAAGTCTCCATCACTGAACTCACTGTTCCAAGGTTCAGCTGCTTATCAGGCTCGCCTGAGAGCTCCTTTCCTCCACTCCCAATTCCTCCACTACCTCTGCTTTGGAGAAAGCTGAATATTTCTGGGCTGCACCAACATGCTCTCTTATTCTCAGCTCCATGGCTCTTTCCATTTCTTTCCTTGCCTGGCACAGAGAAGCTCTCCTCGGCCCACCCCTGGAGTGTACTGTACAAAACCCATACGATGACAATGTCATTTGAATACTTATTAAATATTCACGACTTACAGCAAATAAGAACATACATCTACACTGATGCATTCATCTTAGTTTTAAGATCCTGATAAAAGTCAGGGTCTAACATCCCTGGGTTTCCTCTTTACAAAAAGAAGTGCAACTCAAGTTGCTATTTTAGAATGGCTATGAGGATGACAGTGCAGGTATTACCGGGGTTAGAGAAACTAAGAATGGATTCCAGGTAGGGAGGTATACACAGTTCGGAGTCTCATTCTGATGCCATAACCCTGAAGCACTACGGGGCCAGACTTAAGCTTGTGCCGCTTTTTCTCCTCCAGGAAACAAGCCTAAACTATGGCAATGCATAGGTTTTAAAAAAACAGATTTTCATTTTTGTCTTTCTCTGCTATCAGTTTTCGAAACAGGTTTCATTTTTAAGGGACTCTTCTTTCTTGCATCTGAAGGGTGTCAGTACACCCATGGGTAACAGCAAGAGGGACTAGAAAGTGAGATTTCAAATGAGAGGCAACTCAGTAGTCCATCTGGGAGCAAGTGACATCTCAGGTACATCGGCCAAAGGTTTGGATCTCCTTTCATGCAACTCTGTGCTCAGCGCAGTCTGGCCTGGGGACTTCTACTGCTCAGACCCCCTCTTCCCTTTTACCAGTTCCTCAGCACTCTGTTCTGTCATTGTTGGTTAGGTCTTTTTCAATAACCTGCTCAAGCCAACCCTCCCATTGGGTTGTACACTTCTAGAAGGCAGAAGTATAGAGCTCTGCACATGGTAGGTGCTCAATAAATGTATTAAAATCTAAGCCAGCGAGCCAGCATCAGATGGTGCAGAAGCAGCAGACAGACACATTTTCCAGTCTGCCCACAAAATCTAAATCTCTGCAGTCATGGAGCAGTGAGAGAAATGAAAGAAGCTTGGGGGTAATAAAGAATGAAAGATCTACTTAATCTGAAGCCTAGGGCTATAAGAAACCTAAAGTATTCTAAACAGCAGACATAATTTTCGCTCAAATCTAACCAATTCCAGCAATGATTTTTGTTGTGTGGTGGTTTACATTTGTTTTTAAAAATTCTGAATGTTTATGTCCTGTCGTCACGTATAACAGGTTAAGCCCACTGAGGAAAAGGAAATCACAGACCACAAAGTTTCTATGGCAACTGCATGAGGCTGTTGAACACAAACACAAAAATAACAATTAAACCATGCATAGGTCTCTTTCTATGAAAGGGGTTATCCAAAGATCTTAACTTTAACCCAAGTTGAGTTAATATAAAATTCAAAACATTAGGAAATGTGAGCTTTGGTAAAGATACCAAACAATTCCTTCTTGGGCTTCTGCCAAGTTCCAAGTAAAGAATTTATTTTTAAACTGTAACACCGAAATCCAATGCAAAAGATTCCAAAGTCAGGGTGCTAGAGAACAGGAAGGATTTCTACACTAGTTCATTCTTTTTACAAGACAATTCCAATCACGCAGAGCTGTATCTACAGAAACTGAATCTCAAGGGAAGGAAAATGGAAACCAAGCTTTGTGCTTTAAATATATTACCTAAAAGAAGAACATTCATGTTTTGTGCTTCCAGACATTCTATAATCTCTATTGCTTTTTTCAGGCAACGTCTAAATGGGAGAGAGACAAGAAAAAGTAGCATTAGTTCTTGAGCTTGGTATCGAAACAGTAAGACATTTAGAGATCATCTGACTTGATCTTCAGTTGTCTAACTTACTTTTGCTAAAACCCTCCAAATGACCATTTATACCATTCAGATACTGTAAGACACTCATCTGCCTATTAGAAACTTGAAATTTTCGAAAAGGAAGCCCAAAATTGATGCAAAAATGTTCCTAGGTGATTTCTGAACTAGAAACCCTCAGGGAGAACTCATACCTGAGCCTGCTGGTGAGTCCTAGTATGAGCCATAAAGGCCCACATCTGGAGACTGTGCTGCATGTGCATATTGTTTAATTCAAGGTCACCTGCCAAATGGTCAGTGTAGCTGAAAAGATCCAATATGCCCAGAAAACCTTATGTCTCTCTCTAGATGCTCTATTCTGAGACTGTTGTCACTGTGGCAGCTTTGCTTTATCTGCTTTTAACTAGGGGTTTCACGTACGCTGTTCTCTGCCTGCAGTGGTACCCCCACCCACACCCCCGCCTCTTCATCTGGTTAGGGACGCTCAACTTTCTCTGCCGCACACACAAAAAAGGTTCTTTTATAACACTTATCACAGTTTGCAATAACATGTTCAAATTACGGAACACGCAGCAGGCTCTTTAAAATATATCTGTTAGTAAGTG